CCCTTCTACGGGACACAGAAGCAATCTGGCGACAGGTACGTTGCCAGAATCGCTTATGTTGTAAAGCCGCCAGTCCGCTTTACAAGTTTAAACAGCCCCGATGCTGGCGACGTACACTGTACGTCGTCAGTCACGAAGGGGTTAAAGGAGCTCGACGGAATGGTTTTGGCAGAACATTGGCTGCCGTCACTGTTCATGTGCCCTGACAGCAGTGTGTGCCGGCTGTCAGAATACAATAGCCACAGCAGATTTGTCCATCCATGCTATTTAGCGTAGATGGAGGAATATGTTTTTTTTACTCAGCTTGCAGACTGAATGAAAATAAAACCAGTTAGTGTATGACCAGCTTAAACAAATAGCCAAATCTTCTTTCATTTATATCTCATGCACTCCCCTCCCAGACACCATGTCATAGTGGGAGAGTGCACAGCAACACAGTCAGTCCAGAAAACATTGGGCAGGACTAGGTGTGGTAAACAAGCTACAGATTTGTGAATCGGCAGTAAAAATACTAATGGCCACGTCCCCCTGAAACCCTTTCTTCCTCTGTAGTGCAAGCACAGTGTACATGAGTGACAACACTTCCCTGAATTCAGGAGCAGTGCAGCATTGTTGTCACACCATCACAGGAAGCTGCACTAGGTAAAACTCACTGGCAGGTTCAACAGGTATTGCAGTAACAACTGTCCTAATCCATTGAAAATGAAAAGAAAACGTTTGGCTTTAGTTATACGTTAAAGGGACCGAAAAAAAATAAATGCACTGATCCTTTTAAGGAAGCTTCTAATGCCTATTGTGCATGACTGCATAGTCTGATTACAGAGAGCCGGTCTTATGCCATTACTGCCAATATGATCTTAGGAGATATGGCTGCGACCTGAAGGACAGGGCTGAGGTAGTATTTCACCCTATAATATCACTCCTTTCTACAGAGACAGAGGTGTGGATATCATTTATCAAGGTGTGCAGTGTTTTATTTCATACTCCCCCCCTTCTGGTATTCAATTATTTTCTGATTAGATTAGTGTTACTTTATTATTATTTCTATTATCTTTGCAGCTGAGCTTGTCTAATTGACTTTAGGTTGTCTCCACTGGGGTGTGTTTGTTCCACAGATTCATAGTCTTCTATGTTTCTGCCGTTCAGGCTGCACCATCATATTTATCCTGCCTGTCTCAGGGGTCTTACTGTCCATGGTTTCTATGCTTTCAGTACACTCAGGGGACCCATAAGCTGGAATGATATGACCTGATCCAACCGGAGTTGGACTGTGTAAGAGAGCTTATAATAAAGGCTGTGTATTAAAGAGTGGCTAGTAGAGTATTGTCGTATGCAAGAACTACGTCTGAAGTCTGTCCTTTGTGCTGTGTCTGCAATGGCAGCTATTTCTAGCAACAAGATTAATGTGATAATAAAGTCAAAAGGCTTTTCAGCTATTTCAAATGCTAATTAAATTAATATGGATGTTGCCTCTTAACGTTTAAGTTTATTTCCTGTAGAATCAGCTGGTCTCCTGACCACTGGCCCTGATATCCTGTTTTAGGGTGGCTCCTTTCCATTGCAGGGTCCTATGGAGTCACCCTTGTGTGTGCTAATAAGCCGTGTTTGTCCAGTCCTTTGCTCTTTGATCCCATCACCCCCTTCTCCAAGCTAGTAGATGGATGGCTGCTGGAGACTGCTTTCCTTTATGATCTTGGATGGCGGCTTCAGACTGTGCTTTGCTTTATGATCTTGGATGGCGGCTTCAGACTGTGCTTTGCTTTATGATCTTGGATGGCGGCTTCAGACTGTGCTTTCCTTTTATTTCTTTTTTAGTCTTTTTAATTTACTTTAGTTTAACTTATTGTTTTTATTACTTTACTGTCAGGGGCTTTGGGGAAATATAGGGGTCTAAACAGACTCCAGATATTTCCCTTTTGACATGAAGAAAAAAAGATTGAAGACACAAGTTTTCAATCTCTTTTTCTACAGCCGAAGCACTCGGTACATAGGCTTCCTGTTCATTCATAAATCAAGGACGTAGTATCTGTTTACTATGTCCACAATCATGAATGAACAGGAAGTGATGTAGCACACTTCCGGTTCATTATTGGGGACACAGTATCTGAATACTATGTCCTCAATTATGTACAAACATCATAGTTATCAGTAGTGATCACTGCAATGTTTGAATATTACAGGGAATGATCAGCAAATATTTTACACATTTTCTGATTGTCACACAGCTCTCCTCCCTGCACTGCCCAACTCGGCCTCCTGACAACCTTCTCACCGCTGGGCACCGGCAGGTGGATTGGTTCAGTCTCCCCTCCAATTCTTGCAGCCTTTGCCCATAGATATGGGGGAGAGCAGCAGGTATTGGAGGGGATGCAGTGGGCTCCCAGCGGGGAGGGGGGTGGTGGGCGGTATGTTGGAGCTCTCCTAATGCTTGCCAAATAACCCCAGTGGTGTGGTGAACCTTCTTTTACTAACGGGATTTTCATAGGACTGTTTCTGAATAAAATTTTCCTGTTCGATTTAATAAAATTGTTTTTACTCGGAAGACCCGGAAGCCGGCGGAGAGTGTTTTTCATTATTGATCAAAATAATTTTAATCGATCAAAACTTAACGATTAATCGGGTAATTAATCGTTAATTTCGCCAGCCCTAGATTTTCATATTGTAGCATGGATCTCATGCATACTTAAAAGAGAACTATGCGATAACCTTTTTATCCCATAGTTCTCATAAGGGTCACTGTACAATATACTGACATCCTTCCGTGAACCATAGCTCAGTAGATGGCGAGCTACAGACCCCTGATATTTCCCTTTTAAAATAGAAAAAGATTATTTTTCTGCAGCCCCAGCACCCAATGAACAGGAAGCTCTTATTACACAGTCTTCCTGTTCATTCACAATCTGGAGATGGTAAATATTTACTATCCACCCAGTAATGAATGGACAGGAAGCGTATGTACTAGGCTACTTCCTGTTCATTCATAAAGTGAGCAGATAGTATGTCCCATTCATAAATTAGCACTTCCTGTTCATATCTGTGGATATAGTAATCACTGTGTCCCCAGTTATTTACAAACACTGAGTGATCAATGCTGATCGCTCAGCGTTTGTTCTCCACTCTGCATCCTGACTGCTCCACCCCCTCCCGTGGTCCCGGAGCCGAGCTCGCCTTTCTGCACCAGCCCGCTTGGCCTCCTGTCTCTCCTCTCTGCTGGGCGCCAGCTGCTGGATTTGCTCTGTGTCCCCTACGTTGCCTGCTGTCTCTGCTAGCACAGGGGAGAGCATCAGGAATCGGAGGGGACGCAGACTGCCGCCAAGCGGGAAGGAGAGTATCGGGGGATGCACCACATTTTCGGAAATTTAACCATAGTACCATTTTCGGACGAAATTTTGGGGCATCTCTACTTTATAGTGTCTGTAACTGTAACAAATAGTGTAAATTTTATAATTGTAGGCTTTGTATTTCTATATTGCATTGCTGCATTTGATTAACGCTCAGCTCTACTTGAAACAAATTTGTTTATGTTTTGGATGCATATTAGAATTTGTTTTTGTTGTAGTCTATTAGACCCAGTTGCAAAGATTTCTTAGTGCTTCCTGGCATCCGTGTAGGGCATGGGTCGGCAACCCCCGGCACACATCGGCTGGCACGCAAACTAATTTTTTTGCATTTGAGAGCTTGCTCGAGCCGGCTGTCAGATTGAAGTCCCACCCACCTCCCTGACGTGACCAGTTGACGTTTTTGCAAAAATGGCACTCGGTGTGTAAAAGGTTGCTGACCCCTGGTGTAGGTAGTGAAGAGGAATCTCTCCAGTGTCGACCTTAGGACAGTAATAGAAATCTACCTAAAAGGGTTTTGATTGCGATTTAACTTAGTGATAATAAATCTTTAGTGATAATCTTGTAGCAGCTGTTCAGAAACATGATGATAGTATTTGGGCAAAAACGTAAAGCTGGACAATGTATATTTGTTTCATCTGGATTCATTATTGAAAAATTATTATTGAAAAAAAGTTTTTGAGAGTTTAATACTACTTTATACGTTTTAGATTCTTCCACTTGTCTTTGCAGTCATTTTTATGTTTACCTTATTTTTGGATTGCAGTTGTGATGCTGATCCATCGGCTCTTGCAAAATATGTTCTTGCGTTGGTGAAAAAGGATAAAAATGATCGAGAACTGAAGGCGCTGTGCATAGATCAGCTCGATGTTTTTCTTCAAAGAGGTATCATTTCTTCTTCTTTTTTTTCCTGTAAAAGAGCTCAAGCACAGCTCGTGTTTAGATGGTCCACATTGCATATTTCTATATGAAGAAAGGTCTGCCATTTATGTGTTCCCTAAACGCACACGTTGAAGAATTAAAACAAGAAATTAAAAGCGGTCTGTGGCTCTCATAAATCGAAAGCCAACAATTCGGGTTCATGGAGTTTAGAAAAAAAAAAATCTATTTCCTACAAATATCTCACCAATCATTCTTCTCTAATTAAAATAATGACAGTGTTGTCATAAAACCCCCCTAGCGCACGCTCACATCAGCTGCATTGGCCAGCGTTTCCCAAGACAAGCAGGCAGTAATTTACCTTAAAAGAGAACTATGGGGTAAACTTTTTAACCCTTAGTTCTCTAATTGCAGAAAATTCAAAAATGGTTTGGCCAGCTGATTTGAAAAATGTTCTGGAGGGCTTGGCAGCGAAAGGGTTAAGGGTCACAGGAGGACATATACTAACATCCTCCTATGACCCAAAGCTCATTATATAACGAGCTACACCACGCTTATGAGTGCCGCAGCCGGGACGGATCCCAACAATACTGTTGAGATCCACCCAGCTAGCTGATTGACAGCAGGCTCTGCCCATCTAGAGGCAGAGCCAGCTGTGCCCTCCCCTGTCTATTCCTCCAGTCAGCGCTGGAGGATCAGAGGGGGGAATCTCTGCGGTTAGTGTTGACTGATAGTCATCGCTCTCTGCAGGGAGATGATCGGGAAGTGAGTGAGTGAGCGATGGTATGCGTTCGCGTGGTGGTGGTGTATGATCACTGGGTGGTGTGAATGACAGTGTGGCAACATCAAGCTGAGTAAAGGCCAAAATGTCTATCGGTTGTATTGAGCAAAGTTCTGAGATGTTACTGCTTATCACAAAAGAGACCAGTCGTCGGATCCTCCCCCCTATTTTTTACCTTTTTCATTTATCATTTTTTCTTCAATTTGGTCATAGTATATCAAATCCAAACTTACTAAAAGTCATGCTGAGGGTTGTGAATAAAATCAGGGGCCGTACATAAAGAAAAAAAAAAATATTAACCCTGCTGCTTGCCGAGGTACAAAGCCGGGAGCCACTAATCATATGACAGTCCTGGTGTCCTGCTGACACTTTTGTGCCCTCACACATAGGACACCAGGATTGTCATATAGTGGACAGGGACTGCTCACACTTGTAGTGCTGGAAACACACAGTGGCACTTACCAGAGCCTCCAAGACCAGAGGCGAGGAGGTAGGTGCAGGGTCATCCAAGGGCAGCCGGCTGAATTGCTGCTCCAAGTTTTTTTTCTGCCTGAGTGCATAGACTAGAGTAGAGAAAAAAAAAAAGCTTGGGACTGGCGTTTCCGGCTCGCAGGCCTTATAATTGACGTGTCCAAGAGCCTCTAAAAACTGTGACTATAATTGATTAGCTCGAGCTGAATAAATGAAACCTTTAAGAAAACCTGTAAAATATATTTTTATGATGTACACCACCGTATGACGAGTACTTGCTGAAAAATCGGTCACCATATTGTGAACTCGGTGTGAGATCTTTCTGCAGATCTTGTGCTCAGCTTACTTACAAGAACTCAGCCATACAATCCCTGCCTTTCCAAACAATTATATAATCACAGGTAGCTGATTATGCTGGTAGCTATGAGCCAAGTTACTTCCTGGGTATGTGATGTTCAAGGTTTACAAAGCTCCCTGTGAGTGGGAAACATGAGGGGGAAGAATTGACAACCTCAGGCAACTAGCTCCAGAGAAAGAACGTAATGATTTCTTGTTTTAAGCATCAGGAATCCCACTAGATGTTTCATCCATATATTTCACATTTTGCTGCAAACTTCGAATTCCATCCAGCAATTTTTACTTGGAGGTCTTTTTGGCCTCAGGCCTTCTAAAGTATAACTATATCGCAAATACTTTTCTGCTGAAACTCTTTCTCTTCTTGTGCTTCTGTTTTAAAGCTGTTGATTTTTTAACTTCTTTAGAAACCCAGGGCTTTGTGGATAAATTATTTGAAGCTGTGAACACCAAGAGTTACCTCCCACCTCCTGAGCCTACATCAACAGTCACTGTAAGAGAAGATGCATTAGAACATCAAGAAAGAGAAGTGAGGAGAGAAGAGGTATTCCTTTAAATACTCATTTTGTTTATGCTTCTAAATGTGTTATTGTGCATCCATAGTGTCCTATAAAAGAAATGACAGTAAACGCTCAGTTATCTGGTATTCAACTAACCAGAACTCTCATCTAACCAGAAAAAAAACGTAGTACTCCCTGTTCTGCTGATCTGCTGCATGTATTATCCTGGAAATCATTGTATGTATATTTGTCTTAATTTGCTTTTGATTACTGCATTTCAATATTAATATGAAGTCAATACAGAGTTTATGGTATAGTATAGTATGGGGTATGGCATTAGTTAGACCTATTTTAATAGTAACCTTCCATCAAACAAAAAACCCTGACTAACACGACACATTTTCCCTTGTCATTGCCATGATGGCCTCACTTTAATCTCTCTTATCCCCCCCCCCCCCCCCCCCCAATTAGTTTTTTCACTGATCTGCTTTATTCTACAGACCTTTTGGCACTCAAAATGATTATCTACTTATTATGTATTTGTACTTTGCTGCAACAAGGTGCTTTTTCTACTAAACCCTGTTTTAACATCTTGCTCTTGTTGCTGAACCATGCTCCCTATTTTTTATTTTGTACTTGCTACTTGTATATTTCCTTGTGTCTTTATTAAAAACGTTACCTGCATGGAAAAAAAAATGAAACCTTAAAATACAGAATGTTCAGAAAATGATAGCGAGTGGTCTATGGGGAAACGTGGAAAACAAAAGCATACATAATAGAACTGTGACCCATGAGCTGCCTGAGTTATACACTCAGTATGTCCCTATAATCACCACATCATAGGCAGTCTAAAAAAAACACAAACAAGTAGGGGGGGTGCTAATTAAGAAAGGAAGTAAGAAGAACAAAGAAAAAAAAAAGGTGGGGGGTGGGTAAGAAAAGATTAGAATAGAAGGAGAAAGAAGAGTCACAGGGGGTGGACTTGAATCCAGAATAATAATAATAATGAAATGATCAACATAACAAAGTCAAATCATGATGGTTGAGAATAAAAAATCCAAGGTAGCTAGACATGTAAATATCAGGCATAAGTATCATTCAAAACAGCAGTGATTTCTTGTAAACCATTTGTTTTCATCAGTTTACATTTGGCTGCCTTGAAGCTCAAAACTGCTGTCTTCCAAATTGTTTCAATTACCAATTTGGTGGCAGTAAAGATATGAAATATTACTAGACGTGCCATTCTAGGGAGGGAGGTAATAGGTTTATTAAGTAGAGCTTCACAAGGGCTCCTACTCCGGTTAACATGAAGTAAAGATCTCATTAGGTTATAGATACTAATCTATAGTCGCCTAACTACAGGACGCAACCACCAGATACTATTGTACCAGTGCAGGAGCAACCACAAAAACACAATGAAGAATAGGCTAAACAAGCTGGAGTATTTTTTTTTTGTTAAAATATCAGGCATGCAAGAAGCATATACTCATTTCCACACTCCTCCAGCTGGAGTTTTCAAAATACCTGTGTAAGATGTGACACTGGGTTGTAGATTATATAAGAACGTTGCTTTCCTTGGGGAAAAATACATACAATGCATTTATGTCTGACTAGTTAAAATTTCCTTTTGTTTTTCCTCTTAGCCTAGAGATGACGAAAGGGAAAGAAGAGGCTCAAGAAGAGCTAATCATAGTCCTCAGCCTTCGAGTACTCGTCATAGAGATAGCAGGTAACCTGGTCTTTATAGCAATGGCAATTTCTTTAAATTAATGTTTTTTTTTATTTTCTGAAAGTAATTTTTCTAGCGCTTCACAACTACACAGATTTATCAAGAGAAGGTAGAATGCATTTTCATTGAAATAGTCCTGTGTTTATCACTTTCCCATTACATGCGCTAGCACTCAGTGGTTTTATTCCGAGCAGCATGCTTCAGTTCATGGATTCCCAGTAAATAGCTTGCTTTACAGTTTAAAGCGAATGCTGGCTGCAGCCTTCATTCCACTTAAAGGCTTCACCTGAAAATGATCACCTATTGGTAGCAATATTGAGTTTTTAAGTTTAAAAAAAAAAAGTTTCTCTTCCGTTCATTGAAGGACACAGGGAACAGATCGGAGATCATGTAGAGTAGGGTAATATCGCCACCTGCAGGAGAAGGACGCTAGGCACAAAACTGAAGACCAATTACAGCCTAGGGGCGGCCCCTGCTGGTGGCCAAAACCCCCACCTGCTGACAAGTCTCCAGTTTTTTGCCTAGCGTCAGGAGTAAGGAGCTAAGAATTTTTCTCGGGTATTCTTACCTGACTTCTTCCTGTTTTTTGTCGATGATTCTTCTAGCAAGTGCCGCCCGGGCGACATGCTGGATGTGGTGGATCCTTGTAGTCTCCCCTGGGCGACCGGCGAGCGCATGCAGGCTCTGCTACGGTGGGTCGGCTGCGACAACTCTGTCTCGACGGAGTGGCCTGTGGGCTTGTCCCAATGGAATTGCATATGACCGGTGGTCTCGGCCGACCGGTCACAGCACTCCGTACAGGCTGGCGATGCCGCAACTGTGGTCGCTGGCCCGCTATCCCTACTCGTCCTTACCTCTTGGCTCCGCGTGGATTCGGCCCGACGTCTCGGGTGCTGGCGGTGGCTGCGGTGCGAGGACGGTGCGCGTTCCCCAACATGGTGGTATGTATGTGGGGCAGGCACTGTGCGGGAGGACTCCAGGGGCTGCCTGCCCTTCTGTTTGGTTGTGGTGCCCGGGCTCGGGATTCTGGGGGGGATGCAGTGCATGCCCTGGGGGCTCCCTGAGTTGGCGGCTGCCGATTCGTCCGGATCTTCTTTCTCTGTGTTCGGTGTGCCGTCCGTCTCTACAGTTGCTGGCTTGACGGCCCGGTTTTGAAGGGATCCTTCGGTAGCTCAGTTGGTAGAGCGGAGGACTTACCAAGCTGTAATCCTTTGGGACTGAGGTCGGTCGGCTGCGGTTATCTCTTCGACGCTGAGAGTCCGCGGGCCTTGTCTCGGAGGATCTATCTCCCTCCCTGAAGGGCTTATTTTGCCGGGTGTGAGTCGTGTGTTTTTCCGCCTCGTTTGTTCTCGGTGACCGGGGTTTTGGTCTTTTTGCACCGTGAGGTAGATCACGGCTGGCCTTAAGTGCGGTGCAGTCCCAGGTTTCGGGCCTGGACAGTTCTTTCCGGACGCCCATCGCGTCCTCCGCTTTGGTTCGCACCTTCGTACGGGGGTTACGCAGATTGCTCCTCCTGGTCGATCCCCATTACCGCCTTGGGATCTGAACCTGGTTCTCTCGTTTTTGCGGGTATCATTGGACCTTTGCGGCAACTTCCGCTTCTGCCCTTGTCTCAAAGGGTGGCCTTTTTGGTTGCGATCACTTCCGTTCGCAGGGTTTCGGAGTTGGCTACTCTGTTTTGCACTTCGCCGTTGCTGGTCTTGCATCGGGACAAGGTGATCCTACAACCTCGACCGTCCTTCCTCCCAGAGGGGTTTCCGGTCTTCCATCTCAATGTGGACATTGTTTTTACCTTCCTGGTGTCCGAAGCCCGTTCATAGGACGGATAGATGTGGTTCGCGCTCTCCGGGTTTAATTGGGTGCTACAGCTCCCTTCCGCGAGTCGGATTCCTTAATGTTTTTGCGGATGGTCCTCGGAGTGTCGGGTCGCTTCCTCGGCCGCCATCTCTCGCTGGATTCGCAACGCGTTTTCTCAGGCGTGTGCCATTAAGGGGCGTTAGCCTTTTTCTGTTAAGGCCCATTCTGCAAGGGCTGTTGAGGCAACAACGAATCGATTAAATAGATGATTATCGATTATGATAATAGTTGGCAACTATTCTCATTATCGGTTAGTTGGTTCAACCAATTCATTAGTTGAAAAAATAACTGGGCACCTAGTCGATTATGAACATAATCGTTAGCTGCAGCTCTAGTTTAGTAGGAGGGAGGGAGCTTTTCATGCCTCAACTTTCTTTTAACTTCAACATTATTTTGAGACCTAATTTACATGGCATCACTACATAAATATCTGTGTCTTTTACATTTAAAAGGCATCTTTTACCTTGTGAGAGGACAATCACCCATCTTGTGACAGTCATGTGAGGCTTTGGTGAAGCAAGTTTCAGAACCACTGACTTGAATATCGTAATATTGAGATAGTGTGTGGAGTGACAATTGTACAAAATTATTTCTTTGATTTGTATGTTCATAAGTGTCAGTCTGATTTTTATCTTGTTATTATTGCTGCTCGGTTCCCATGCTAATCTTTTTAATGTTTTGTAGCTTTGTTTCTTTGTCACTTCTGTGCAGAGAAAACAACCGAAGACGAAGCAATTCTGATAGAGAGAACAACTCCGCTCAAAACTCTTTTAGATCTGGAGGACAGGAAACAAAACAAGATGTTGACACTACATCATCACGTGTAGGAGGTAGCAAAGTACAGAGTTCAAAAACGACAAGGTAATACCTTAGTCTGTTCTATGGTATTCTTTGGGAAAGTTAAAGATCAGCTCTGGGAAAAATCCTTCTCGGGTGGGGTAAGGTTTTTAGCTCCATCTGAATCTGCATTTCTGGGAAGAACCTTGCCAGTAAGTTCTTAATAATTGCCTTTTATTGTTGGCAACTGTCAATATATGAAGAAATCATCTACAACCTTGGTTCTCAACTGGGGGGTCATGACCCAAAAGTGGGTCGCGACCCTGTGTTCAGTGGGTCCCCACATGCCTTCCAACTTTTCAAGGTGAAAGGCATCTCAGCCTCCCCCTAGCACAGCACTGTCAGTTTACGTACCAAGCAACCATTCAAAATGTGCTGAGTGTTAGCTTGAGGTGGGGTGAGCTGGGGTTATGGCTGCGAAGGAGGTGCATCCATACGCGCATCGCTTACAGCTCCCTCGCGTGTCCTGTAGAGGTGCCTGGACCGAAGTGATGTAATGTTAAGTCTCCCTCCACCTCTACAGGGTGTGCAAGGGAGCTGTACAAGTGGATGCACATATGGATGGAGCTCCTTTACAGCACAGCATCCCGCACTGCATTCCATTGCAGTGCAACTTGGGTCACAACTTAATGACCAAGGACAAATGTGGGTCCTGAGGTTACACAGGTTGAGAACCTTCGATCTAGAGGGTAGATAATACATCATTTCTCAAGTGGGTACCATATAGTAAAATATGGAGAACTGCATTGATAGGCATCTGTAGGAAAGTTCTACAGCAGCCTTGTCAGGGATGGAGTAAAATCTTATCTTTAGAGTGCAGGAATATTGTACAATTCTGTTAGGAAATCGCTACTCTTCCCCAGTGCACCCAAAATGGTAAATGTTTTTTTTTTGTGGCATGCATGCTGTAACAATGTTTTCTTTATGTAGCTCTTTTTATAAAGTGTGTGTGTGTGTGTACAATATAATAAGTAGTTGTATAGAAATCAGCGGCCTGTTTTGGTGTAAGTCAATAAATCCACAGTCTATGGATAATATTCGAGCGTGTGCTGAATCTTTGTCTAAGAATATCAGTGACCACTGAGGAAGTATTTATTTTTATGTATGACTTGATATAGAGCAGGGGTGCCCACAATTTTTTGTGTTAAGATCTACTTTTTATAGGACCAGCTCAATAAGACCTACCAACGAAAGGCACCGCAGCGCACCACCTGGAACAGAACGCGGGTAGGTGCGAGTGCGATGAACGCACTACTATTGCATGCTGTACTCTGTGAACCACGGCTTACAGTGTCAGGAGCTTGTGGGGACAGAGCGCCACCTGCTGGCCACGCCTAAGAACTGCACCCTGTCAAATATAACTTCCGATCGCGATCGACTGGTAGATCGCGATCGACCTTACGGGCACCCCTGATATAGAGGGTTGTTTGTGTTGTACTAGTTTTTCCATTTGACGGAAACAAAAAGGTGTTTTTTATAATGTTTACATTCAGAAGTAGAGATGACCGTAAAAAAGATGACCGTTCTCGAAAACGAGAGTATGATCGGAATATGCCTCGCCGAGACTCCTACAGGGACCGGTACAATAGAAGAAGAGGCAGAAGTCGCAGCTTCAGCCGAAGTCGCAGTCGCAGCTGGAGTAAAGAACGGCCTCGCGATAGAGACAGAAGCCGCAGCAGAACAAGGAGTCGGACTAGGAGCAGAGGTTGGCAATTTTATAACGTGAAACGTCCACTTTTGACACTCATTCTCTAATGCTCAACAGAATGGTTTTATTAAAATGTAGACTGTGTATAGGGCACTGTTTTATGACTGATTTAACACAGGTTCTCAGAATTGAGTACAGGCATTGCTTCTGAACCTTAGTACAGTAACAGCTCCCCAATTATAATGTGTATTGAAATCCAAACCAAAAATGTAAAGTTTAACGAAAGACTTATATATACCGTGTTTCCCTGAAAATAAGACACTGTCTTATGTTTTTTTTGGTTTAAAAAAAAAACCCACTATGTCTTATTTTCGGGGTAGGTCTTACCATACCATAATACCGGTAGAAGACTTGGAAGACAGGAGTGAGTGGCAAATTTAGGAATAGGGTGATCAGGGCAATCATGGGTGCCGTACCTTTCCAAGAGCAATTTGGTAACCAATCGCTGGCCAGAATGAGCGAAGCGCGCTTTCACTATTGATTCCTCACAGGCGGAGTGCATTTGGTAGCACTCTGCCTGTGACAGGAGTCGGCGCTATAGAGGAGGCATCGGCTTATGCGGCTCTGCTTCCTGCGCTGCAGCCTCGCTTACTCTAGCACTGGCTTCATTGGCACCGCTGATTCTCTCCCACAGCTCTCCAAGTTCCCCCTTATGCCACCACCGGCCCTGGGAATGGTCACAACTAGGTCTTATTTTGGGGGTAGGTCTTATATTTTATCAAATCCCAAAAATAGTACTAGGTCTTTTTTTTCGGGGTAGGTCTTATTTTCGTGGAAACGGTATGTGTATATATGTGTGTGATTTTTTTTTTTTTTTTTTTTTTCCCACTGGAAAGATTCACTCTAATTGTCCTGATCACCAATGTCACGGGAATGAAAGTGAGAATAAATCCCAAGGTGCCATCAGAGTAGTAATAGAGGGGAAATCTTGCAATGTGGACAATTGATCCTGCGGTAACTGTTTGAGGAGATTTATCTTCCATTGGAAAGCTATCCTTTTACTTCTTGAGTCTGCAGAACAGGAAGTGAAAGGAAATTTCCCTTTTGAGACACATGGCAAAAAAGAATGCAGTTGTAAAGTGTATTGTCATTTTTGCAGACCAATTGGGATAACACCTACTTTAAAGAATAACTCCAGACATAACTTTTATTAACCCTTGCAGGGGGCTACCCCCGCACTGCAAGGGTTTTGGTCTAGGGAGGAAAATAAAGTTATGCTCATCAGATCCTCCAAGCCGGCTTGTTCCTAGACTGGTCCTTCCAACGTCTCTTCCCCTCTGCTGCAGAGGTCTAAGGTCCCTGAGTCATCATTCTATACACAGTGTGTAGGACCTTAGTATGCTGAGGGACATAACGTCGCTGCAGCGGAGGAGGAGACAGGCAGAAGGGAGTGCTGTCACAGCTAGCCGGCTCAAAGGATGTTTTAAAACACCTGTTTTTTTGCTTCAAAAGCAGCTATGCTTTTATGTCTTTGGCAGTTTTAGTTGTGCCTGTAACACTTTCAAAAATGATTATTTAACAGATAAAGATTCAGGAAAACCAAAATATGATCTTGATCGAGCAGAAGCATCAGACAGTAACTATCAGGCGGGCTCCTCCATTCCTTCCCACATTGGGCCAGCTCATTACCCTGTTCCAACACTTAGTAGCACGATTACAGTAATTGCACCATCACATCATGGCAACAACGCAGCTGAAAACTGGCCAGAATTCCATGAAGACCAAGTGGACCACAGCACTTATGGAAGACCTCCCATTCCCAAGAAGCGCTGCAGAGATTATGATGGTATGGCTTCAAACTATTTGGTATAAGTTGTAATTCTTTTTATGGCGCTGTGTTATATATAATACCATTTTTCTGGATAATGCTATAATAAATATTGAGACATTAAAGAAGAACTATGGTCATAGTAAACATTGACCCTTGCCGTGGGGCTACCCCCAAACTGCAAGGATACTCTCCGCAGCCTCTTCTGCCCTGGGCTCCGGAAGTCTAAAGGCCCGTGACGTCGTCATGTGCAGGGAGCACACTTTCACAGGTGCCTCGAAGTGTGCCAGTGTGGCTTCTTCATATATCTGCTTAATATCATGACAATATATTTATAACATGTATGTTATACATTTAATGTGGATGATTTGTGAATATACTTTGAGATATTTCTCTTCTCTCATGATTAGAAACTTTCAACCCTACTCATGTTTATCAGAGTGTGCACTGTGGGTATATTTAATAATTAACAACATCCTGGATTCATGGCTACAATTGTTTTATGACATGTTTACTAAAATGTATCCAGTGATTCTGTTTTTTGTGTGTATTTGTACTCGTGGGGTTATCTTTTTCAAAATAATAAACAAGATTTTTTTCCCATACACTATTTAGATTGTAGAATAAATGTATTTTATGGGTCATCCAGAATCCTTTTTGTTGGGTCAAGATTATGAGAGTGAATTGGGGATGGTCTGCCTTCAGGGAACCACCCCGGCCCTGAAAATTAATATTGTAAAGGAAACATATTGAAAAAATGTGTAGGCTGTCATTGCTGGATGGTGCATTTGAAAATGCTAGTTGATCTTGTGGCTTCACTACCTTGTACGTAAATCTAGAATTAGTATGCAGATCATAAGTTTGCACTTTCCTATGACTTCAGTTGTTGCATGCTTATTTTGGGTCAGTAGCTGAGATTAAGGGCTGAGGCAGCCAGCCATGTAACATTTTCAGAAGATCGGCTATGGCGGCCTCTGTATTTTTCTCAATTTTTCTGTATTTTTTAACTAGCTAAAACATGTTCAATATAACAAAGTTAAGGAAATATTCAGTTTAAATGGCTGTACTTATAGAACAAGTATGCTCATCAGAAATATTAGCATCTGTAAAGAGCCACATTGCTATCATCGTGATTTTCCATTTCCCCCTGTATCTGTCAGGGAGTTTGCAAAATATTGTGCACATGGACGAGGTGCAGAATAAGTCGCCGGGAGTCTGTTTAAACAGCCCCGATGCTGGCGACGTACTCTGTACGTCGTCAGTCACGAAGGGGTTAAGACACTTCTGTATGTATTCTAATTCATTTACACAGAGCTAAAAGTGTACATTGTTAATCCAGTGTCATTTCTTTTATTTTCAGAAAAAGGATTTTGTATGAGAGGGGATATGTGTCCATTTGACCATGGTAGTGATCCCGTGGTGGTTGAAGATGTTAATCTACCTGGAATTTTGCCATTCCCAGCACAGCCAACTGTTGTAGATGGACCACCCCCACCAGGACTTCCTCCCCCACCCCCTCTTCTTACTCCTCCTCCAGTAAATTTACGACCTCCAGTTCCTCCGCCAGGTCCTCTGCCACCCAGCCTTCCACCGGTATCAGGTATTGCATTGTATAAAAAGTAGAGCCATGTTGCAGCTATTATTTCTTGTTGTAGATTAATCATATTGTACCGAAAGTAAACCTGTAAAGACAGAGGGGGGAATTTATCAAAACTGGGGCAAACAAAATCTGGAGCAGCTGTGCATGACAACCAATCCGCTTCTCTTTTTCATTTTCAAATCTTAACTGAAGAGAGAAGCTGATTGGTTGCAGTGCACAGCTGCTCCAGTTTTGATAAATTCCCCCCAGTATGTCATGGAGATTATGGAGAGTTTTCTTCTCGAGTATGTGGGCAGTGCAGGTGCGAACATAGCAAACCTGTTTATTTTTGATCATTATAAGGCCCATTCAAAACTTTTCTGTGCATGTACTGGTTTACTGATCATTTTTTTTTTTTTCCGACAGGCCCACCACCTCCGCTTCCGCCATTGCAACCTTCCGGCATGGATGCTCCCCCAAACTCTGCCACTAGCTCAGTTCCTACTGTTGTGACTACTGGAATTCGCCATCCCCCTCCCCCTGGGGCCCCACCTCCCCTCTTCTCGTCTGGTATGCGTTCTGTGTCTTTTTGGACTTTTGTTTGCTCTTTTTGAAAATAACAAAATTCCAGTAAATTTGTATTTGGCGATATAACTTGAACTCCCAGTGCCGAGAACTAGTGTGCATACTAAGCAGCCTGGTGTTTTACTGACAAAGTATCCTCTTTCCTTGTGCTTTAGTAAGAAAAGACCCACCTGATAACCTCTTACAGAACACCTAACCACTGAAATGAGCCCGTAACATTTAATATCCCTTTAAAATTTACACCCCCTCCCCCCAAATATTGAACCTTACCCCTAAAATAAGCACTTGACTTTCAACCATAAAACCTAATTACAGCTCTATTGTTAATATCCGTTTTGGCCAACAGAATGAAATTACAGTTTATTGGAGACCAAATATGATATAGATAATATGTATGACTTGCTTAGGAGGTTGAATGTGACAAATTAAATTTGTCACCTTACATGAATGCCTTGCACAGACATTAGATTCAAATCATATCATATACGTTACTGACTTGTGAATTTTTTGGGAAACTGAGGCTGGCACTATGTTAAGTATAACTCCTGAATTTGCTCCACACAGTTTGGGGTTCATCAGTCCTCTCATTATCGTCACATGTCCCTCCTACTGATCTCTGGTCAGCAGACAACCCCCTCCACTGGCCATGGCCTACTTTTCCTCAGGCAGCTCTAGGCCTCTTTACTAAGCCAATTGAGGAGTTGACTACCTGCAGTCCTTCAAGACGTTTGTCATCTGCACCAATGTCAGTAGTGAGGTATATGTGATGGGAGGTGCAGTTGGTCCAAACTCGCTTTAAAAATGGAGCAGCACAGTTGTGTGCACATAACAAAGTATAACATTATATTAACCCCTATTCTTCTCTCACCCTGCTGTCCTCAACACTGATGACATGCAGGTCTTGCGCTAAAAGCATGCTTCAATCAGCCCATGCACTGATCCTACAATATCTGTGTAAACCTTTTGAATCAGTGAATGGGGTGATTGAAGTTGCATCTAGCTTTCTTACACTATTGGTGTATTGGGAAAAACCTTTGCAAAACAGAGAGAAGAATCCGATTTAGAAGATATAATTGCCTAACCTTTGTGTTACCCCATCTTTCCTGCTATTTGGCTTTCAGTAAAGCAGTATTGTTGAAGATTGCTTGATGGATGTATAGGATGTATGCAGGGCTGCATCTGATAATTTGTTTTATGTGCAGTTGGGCCTATTCCTTTGTTCCCAGAAACATATGAAGCTGATGGTTACAATCCAGAAGCCCCAAGCATGACAAGCTCTTCTCGACCTGTGTACAGACATCGTGTACATGCACAGAGACCTAATTTAATAGGCTTAACTTCAGGAGACATGGATTTGCCACCTAGAGGTATATTTTGTTTAAATCTTTAGTTTGGTCTAGTTTTTCTGACTACCGTCTCTTTAAGGGCTAACAGTGCATTGAAAACACTTGTATATACCATTGACAATCCCTTAAATGGGATTATTTTTATTTGCTACTTTTTGTTTCTTTGAGTAAGAGTGTAATGAAATCCTGACTACTTATTTATGTGACTTTGAATTGAATCATAGGTAATGTTTAGGAACTGTTTGTATATAATTATGGGCAGCAAATTACAAGCTCCCTTTCAGCTCTCCATATACGTGAAATTCATGTGTCATGGTCAGGCTGGGACACAGTTGCTTGTCAATGGGTACTATGTAACCTAGCAGATAACAAATATTTGACTCAATTCTGAGAGACAAGAGATTGCTAATGTTGCCCAGAGTTTATATATGGTCGGATCCATCTCATGAGCCTTAGAGCTAGGTGTTACGTATTCAAGCTAAATATATAAATGGGTGTATTGGAATTTGGAATTATACAGTATATGTTGGATAACCGGTTGTTGGCCTGTGCTTAAATATTGTGATTTTTTTGTTGTTTTTGTATTGTTACAGAAAAACCTGCCAATGGTAATATCAGGATTGTTGTGGAATCTGAATCCAGGAAAAGGAATCTGCCACCTGCAGAAACTGGGATGCCTCTAAAAAAACCCTGGTTTGACAAGTATGTTTGGTTACTAAAACTGTCTACAGCACATATGTGAAACAAAAGGCCCGCAGGCCCAATCCGACTAGTCCATTTCATGTGGCCCTTACACCTCTGCTGCAGCTTTTAAATTTTTAAACCGAAGCCAGTGCTGTAAATAGGCGCCGGGCTTCGCAGGAAGGCCGTTGAGGTCCCCAGCAAGGTCCTTAAAGCGAGAGACCGCATAGCCCACCATAGAACCTGCACAACCACCTGAGAGTCTGAACAGCCACATGAGTATTTGATATGATGGAGAGTAGATACATTTATATAGGCCCTTTGAGGGCAACCATAATGATGTGGCCTGTGATGAAATTGAGTTTGACACCCCTGGTCTTTATTGAAATACTGTTAGTGTTGCATAATATTTATAGCATAAATATACATAATATTTTGTGTTGCTTTCTTATTCCACTTCCTGGGGAGAGGAAAGTTTTTTTGGTATATTTCAATTCATTGGTAAAATCTGGGTACCCAATGCTTGCAGATCACTCCAGGCCCAGGTCCTCAGCTTTTTTTTTAATTGATTTAGAGAATGTAGCACTGGAGAAATATATATTGCTGCTGTCACCTACTTCCCTAAAACCATTAATATTTAAAAGTATAATTGTTTGGGGAGCGTGGCTAAGCAGTGGTGAAGTATGGCCAAATTCTCATCATGGGACAAGTGTTTTCAGTCTGTAGACAAACAAAACCACCTGAACCCCCCCCCCACCTCACTGTCCAGGTATAACCTGGACTCCTTGTTGGTGCAGTGGACACATTTATTTCTCCCTATTCACATTTTGGAGCTCCAGCTTTGGTTGTCCCAACAACTGGACACCTTGACTGAAGGGTAAACCAATCAAAATTAGGTTGGACAACACCAACACCACCAAAAACGGCTTGGTTTTCACTAACTCGGGACACTGCAGTTTACAAACCGCTGGTACACAGCAATTGCGGCTTTTTTTTTTTATCTGCTGCTCTTTTATTTGGGAGAAAAAGGATCTGACATGGTCACGTCTCCTAGTCTGCTGAGTAAAACGAACGCAGCGGTGTCTGCTCTTTCTCCCCTCGCACCGCTTGAGGCTGCGAGTATTGTGGAAGTTCTGTGGTGGTTAAAACATGCAAAGTTTGTACATTTAAGCTTGTCTGTTTCGAAGCGGAGGGGTGAGAGCAGAGTGATTGAAGAATTTTTCTTTATTATTGCTCACTTGCTGTAGTATTTTTAATGGAAAACTTTCTTCTAGCAGAGCGTGATTAGATTGTACAGCTAATAAGAACAAAACTGTTCTGTCTGTTTCTAATACTGCATTTCCTGCTTTGTCCAGTGATTCTTCACCTTTTCTTTTCAAAGGCTGAATTCTCTTCTACTGTGGAAATTGTTTTTGTCTTGTTTAGAGTGATTTATGGTCCCTGTATATAAGGGCAAAACATTTTGCATTTCTCCTTCACCGGTGCATTCTAAAGAGGAAATGTGTGATATTTCTGGAACTGCTGTAACTTTTCTGGAATATTCTGTATCTGAGTTGCTTTTTTCTGATGAGGACTGGCCTCCTCTGACTGATTTTCATTTGTCTGCAATTTCTCAGCATCAGAAAGAAACTACTACCTTTTTTATTTGAGGCTGTGTGCCTCTTAAAAATGAAAGGATTCTGCTGTTTCTACTTCTGTGGTTCCTAGTCTAGGATCACATAAACTTGAGCATGTCTGCAAGGTTTTTACTCCTACATCCTATTTTTTTATATTTTTGATTTTCATGTGAGGATTGGGAATTTCCTAGATACGCTGTTTCTGGTTCCAAGAAGCTGTAAGTCCCTGTATCTTTTTCCGGCAGATTTTTTTTTTCAAACAAATTTTATTTTATTTTTTCATATTTCCGGCAGATTTTATTAACATGGTCTTTTCCTCCTGAAGTTTGACGCTTCTTCATTTAAGGATGCTACTGAAAAAAAAAAATTGGAGAATCTTTCAAGCACCATTTTTATTTAACTGGTGCTGCTCTTCAGCCTTTATTTGCTGCAGTCCTCATTTTGCAGACTGGCCACTTGGACTTAATCTCTGAGTGCTGATCAGGCAACTGCTGGAATTGATCCACATTTTACTGATGCTTGTCGTCTGTTGTCTTGGGTGTCTGTATCTTTGTTTGAGATTCACTGAGCTATCTGGCTTAAGTGCTGGTCAGGGGAACCTCAATGTAAAAAAGGGCTTTTGCATTTACCATGTGTTGCTAATAGACGTTTTGGGATTTGCTGGATGAAATTATTAAAAAGGCTACGGAAGGTAAAAATGAACTACCTCAGAAGAATATCTGATCAGCCAATCTCAACATCTTACAATTCTATGTCCTTCAGACCTTCTAGACTTCCTTGGCAATCCAAAACCTTAAAAGTCCACTTTGGCATGACGTTCAAGCCCCCTCATGCCATTTCCGTTTCAGGTGCGGGTTTCTGATGATTAAATTTGCAGAGACGTGGGAAGCTCAAATCCCAGATGCTTGGGTCAGAGAGGTGGTTTCCACTGGTTAAAAGATGGTTTCATCTTCCTCCTTCTTTTTTTTTTTTATTTTTTTTTTTTTTTTACAGTTGCCCACCACTCCTTTTAACCCCGCCCCGCCTGAAAAATAGGGAAAAAAAGTGAGATACAGAGAAAACACATTATTAGATAACGCATACAATTGTCGGCGCTATATACATACTTGAAATATATATACTGTATATTCCTTCCTTTGTTCGCAAGAGATGTCCAACATCTCTTGAGAACAATCTCTATGAAGTATGGTTGACCATGTAATACTGTATATTATTTTTTCTTTTATGGTTTCAATTGTTAATTTCTGAAATGTAATGCATCTTTCTTTCCCAGTAAATTCATAACTCGTTTAAAAAAACAAAATGGCTTAAACAATTACATATTGTTTTAAATCATGGTGTAGTTCCTAGGGTGGACATGCCTTGTATTTTGTTTTGCGTGCCTTGTGGATAAACTGTTACTTGAATCGAAAATATAAATGACACGATTCAAACCTTTTTAAATTGTGTTTCTTTAGACAAAACTTCAATAGGGGGAACCCCCCCAACTTTCCAAAAAAGGTTCCATTTCCAAGTGAGAATACCAAGCTGGAGTTGAGGAGAGTTCCTTCAGAGATGAACAACATTAGCAGACTAAATGAACATTTCAGTAAATTTGGAACACTGGTGAATTTGCAGGTATTTTTTGATTAAATCTTATTTTTTAGGTTACTGAGTAAACCTTTTTTGAGACAATGTTACATTTTGGCAAATCATTTATAGGCTAGTGAATTTTATGTATTTGCAGAAGTGTGTTCTATTCCTAGCAGTGCACAAAGTTCACATATCACTATCTGCAAGGAGTTTGCATGTTCTCCCTGTGCTTGCGTGGGGTTCCTCTGGGTACTTCAGTTTCCTCCCACACTCCAAAGACACGCTCCCACGCTCCTCTCTAAATTGGCCCTCTATGTATGCATCTGTCATAGGGTCCTTAGATTGTAAGCTCCTTAAGGATAGGGTCTGATGTGGATGTGCAACTACGTAAAGTGCTGCATAAATTGTCGGCGCTATATAAATACATGTAATTAATAAATAAATGTGTTTGTGTGTGTGTGTGGCCTCTGCATACTTGTTCTGTGGCAGTGAAATCACTTGCACTGTAGCTGATTAAGTTTAACTTCCCTGCTCTGGAACTAGTTAGCAGTCTGTTGTGAGTTTTGTTGTGTGCACATGTGTGCATGATGGGTTGTGGTTTTGCTGAAATCCTAGCTTTTAACAATTACTCCAAAAAAAAAACTTACAATTTGGGTCCATTGCTTTGTGTTACACTTGCACACTATTTTCTCTATCGGCCATTGAGGGGCACAGCTCTGAAAAATTCTGAGACGTAGGGCTATGTTGCTGCCTCCAGGAGACAGTCTGTCGCTTTAAGGACTTAACCTCTCCCACCTCGCTCCTGCTAGTTTCAGTTCGTGTCCTCAGGATAATGCATGTGTCCTTCTCTTCTGGTTTATTATTTTTGTTTCTTCATTGAGATTTTACTACCAAGTGGCTGCAAGTTGATTCATACTGAATGTTATTAAATCCTTGAAGTTTCTCTTGCTAGCCAACAAAACTGGTTGATTCATGCCGGATAGGTTAAATCCTGGAAGTTTCTCCAGCTGTCTTGAAGCCTGTTGTTCCTGGTCTGAGGTGGTCCTGTGTTCCTGATTTCATCTTTTAGCTCTCAGGCCAGTATTTGGGAATTCCTGTTATGTCAGGACAAGGGTTATGAAGTTGTGAGTAACTGTGTATGCATATATGTGTGTGTGTATGGAGATATCTATGATATATAGATGTTTCTTTCCATTTTTTCTATTCTATTTAGGCTGTGTAATATGGTGTTGTCTGACCCTATTTTTTTTTTATGGGCTTTTTAGAATATGTATGGAGTCTGACTAAATTTTTTGTAAGGATTTCTGCTGTTTTCTTTGAGGCCGGTACTTTGTGTTGATGCACTGCACATGCATGTGTGGTCGGTTCCAGACTCCTCATAGGTGTACAGTGAATTTCTGCTACCGGGTCACGGGGGTTTTTAGCTCCGGTAACCGGTTTCCATCTGATGCTTCATGTTGCAGTCGGCCATAAGAAAAATACGTTTTCCTGCGCTTTCTGCACTTTTACACAGCTGATTCTTGGAGTATTCTGCAGCAGGTTAGATTCAGTGCCTCAGATACTTTTTCGTTCACACCAGTCGGGACAGTAAGTACTGCTGAAGGAAGTGTGTGGTATTTAGTCTTTTGTCTGTCTTTACAGACATGTCTGTATCCAGGCAGCGGGGCAAGTGCTTCTTGACTGAGGAATCTTCCTTTGGTTATTTTTGTAACGATCGTAAAACAGAAATTTTCTCTGGAAAGGAGTGTGCTAATTGTTTTCCTATTAAAAGCAAATCTGACTATCCGTTGTTGGTTTCTAATTCTGCACCTCCTAGTTGGGTGGGTAAAGATGAATTTTCTTCTACTGTGCAGGATGTTTCCTCCTGTTTGGAAAAGTCTGTAGTCCTTGTTCCGAAAAGTAACAGATGTTCTATTTCTCTTTCACCCGTGAATTCTGATGATAAAATACCAGATATTTCTGGAACTGCGGTGGTTTTTCTAGAAGATTCTATGTTTTATGTTGAGTTTGTTTCTTCTGATGACAATGGGACTGCTTTGGCTGTTTTTCAGTCATCTGCAATTACTCAGCATCCGAAAATAAATGGTTGCTTTCTTAATTGAGGCTGGTGTGTTGCTCCTTAAATTTAGAGGATTCTGCTATTTGTCTCCTTCTGCGGTTTCTAGTTTGGGTTTGTATAAACCTGAGCATGTCTGCAAGGTTTTTCCTCCATCCTATTTTTGGAGGTTTTTCTCTAAGGATTGTGACATTCCAGACAAAACATTTAGCAACCAGAAATTGCTTAAGTCTCAATGGGGTCAATTCACTAAACTGTATCTCTTGAAATAAAATGTCTACGTGACTTTTTTTTTTTTTTTCTCTGAAATATCACCAGATTAAAAAACAAAAAGTCCAATCACTAAAAGCATGTGACATAAATAAAACAAAAAATTAAACACATGAGATAAATATCGCTTGAAATGTTAGTCTCTTCACTAAAAACAAAACAAAAACTGAGGCGATTATGACATGGCTCGGCAGTCTGTATTTGCAGTATGTCAGCCTGTGGCAGTGTAAAAACGTTCATGACCTCTAATTTAATGCAATGGATGTATTTGAGAACACATTACTGGAATATAATTTCATCCAAATGACTGCAACCATGTCCTTTTTTTCCACTGGAAACAACCCTATATTTAGGGTTAATAAAGCCTACATTTTGAGATAAATACCATGTTTTGAAGAAATATCATCTCATTCGGTTAAAAACTCAGATCCTCCTCCTAATTCCTTTTTGTATTCTTTACTACATCTGGCAAGTGTGAGGTGGGAGGCCTTATGTCCTAAAAGTGGCAGGCCTTTACTTTTTGTTTGCCTAGTGTCCATTTCTCCTGGAGGCAGCAGCGTAAACCTAGGTTTCATAAGTTTAGGACTGTCACCCTCAATGGACTCTAAGAAAAGGATTTAACGGTAAGAACAAAATCCTATTATGTGATATACCTTTGGTCCAAATGCTTTGCCAATTCTGTCTTGTAATAAGAATCTTGGACTGGCACAAATCAAAGTTGCTTTAGGAAAAATATTATCGGAAAGTAAATGTTTCAAAATTTTCCCCATTTCTGCCTAAGGCCTTGTTCACACCAAGCGCGTTCCAGGAGCAGAGCAGTTACAGACCGGACTGTAAAACTGCGCCCAATGTATTCCAATGGTATTTTGGGCTCTAGTTCACATTGCAGCGTTCAGTTCCAGAGCATGTAAAAAAAACTGCAACAAGCCCTATTTTACCTGCTCTGGAACGCATCAAAAAGCATGCAAACGCCCTGGAACGCATTGAAAGCCTATTTTAAAACAAATATTTATTTTGTTTAACCAAAAACGGCCCGGAACGCATCAAAAACGCGGCACAACCCACTGCACTGCATGTGCAGAAACGCATGCAGATCTGGTCTGCATTTGGTGTGAACAAGCCCTAAATAAAATCTGAAACAGTGGTGATAGTGGTGGGGGGAGGAATGCTTTACCTTAGAAAGGTTTTTCAATTTTCACCTCAATTTTTTTTCTTTGTCTTCTCAATGCTGCATTTGCAGCTGTATAAAAAAAAATGATAAAAGCACCACTGGTACTCTTACCTGCTGCTAAACTGCCCTCAGAGTTTTGCAGTGTATGCAAATTATTACTACTACTTATGAGAGTGCACTGTTAATTTTGTTTTCATATATGAAAAGGTTTCCCCCCATGCAATTAATTTACAGGTTGCTTATGGAGGAGATCCAGAAGGTGCTCTAATTCAGTTTGCAACACATGCAGAAGCAAAGGCAGCCATCTCAAGCACAGAAGCAGTTTTGAATAACCGGTTTATTAAGATGTATTGGCACAGAGAAGGAACTTCTCCACAAATACAAGCGCCAACATCTACAAAGGTATTTGCATAAGAAATCTAAAAATATATAGCTTATTACCCATTATCTAATGTCTAAAGGAGGTATAGACAATGCAGGTGTTGAGTCAGATACAGAGCCTTTTCTTTTTTTTGCTTTAATTTCTATATTTTTCTTGGCTTGGTCACCTGATGCAGTACAAACTGCCTGCTCATCTTTTGTCTTGGCTGCAATATTAAAGCAGACCTTTACCCCTTTTTACTAAAAATCACAGCAGCACAGAGCTCTGCATGCTGATTTAAAATCATCTTACATTCATTAGTTAAACAAAGATGTTTTCATTTAGTTCATCTACTTCGTGGTCCAGTTCTGACACAAATTATGTAATTGCCAAAGTGTTGCATCCTGGGAAGGTTATATCAGCAGAGCATTGCTGGAAAATCTAATTTGTAATCTCATGAGATCTTAGGAAAAGGCATTTTCCTCCCCTGAGGTGATGATTGGTCACATGTCCCAGTCACAAGTGTAGCCACATGTGCCAGAGTTCAAGGAAATAAATGGAGAGCTAGTAATCGGCCCTTAGTTAACGTGGCCACTGTCAGAAGACTGGGGAAGAAAAGAGACATAAGGTATGCAAAGAATACAAAGGCTGCAATTTTCTAGAAGTATCTGTATGTAGATTGTCATTACTAAACATATCTAAAGGTGTGTTTGTTATTTAAAAGATATGGGTAAAGGTCCACTTTAATCCTGCAAAATGCATTTGCAGTTGCCTTCCATCACAATTGCCACCCCTCTAAAGGTGGCCATACACTTTACAACCATCGCAAGACCTTACGATGGTTGTAAAGTACTTAAAAAAACATACGATCTGCCCATCTTGGACAGGCAGATCGTACTCTCGATCATCGCGGGGGCAGGCTTACGATGACTTAGTGAGGGACGGGCTTACGATGACTGCAAACGGGCAGTGTGCGCGTGCCACACCGGCCCGTTCGGCAGTTGTCGAACCAGCAGGCCACTAACTCGCCGAGAATCGTACGATTCCAGACAGGTTTTCTAGCCTGCTGGTTCGACGGAAGACGTGCGACCGTACAGTAGAAACGGTCGCACGCCTTCTATACACTGCACGATTCTCGTACGATCGCGTGATTTCCCGCGATTCTCGTACGAGAATCGTGCAGTGTATGGACACCTTTACTCATCCTGTGCGCATCTCATTTTGTGTTGGCTGCATGGCCAATCTGTAAAGTAGTATGGTGATTTCCATATTGCATCAGAAACATTGAAAGCCTTGACCAGTGGAAGCCTTGACCAGGTTGGGGGATCCTGCTTAGGATCTGCACTTCTTACTGGCCCTGCCATTCTAATTCATAAACCAATTTCCTAATTTCTAACCACATTCAGTGGCTGTTTTACCTGTTGCAGGCAGCTATTGAATTGACCGGTATCATTTGAAGACTTCAAATCCTCTGTTACCATCAGTGCTTGTAATAGATTTCTGGGCTTGTTTAATAAGACAGTACAAATTGTGGTGATCTATAGCAGCCAATCACATTTCACTTTACTGTAGTCAGATTAGTATAAGATGTTATTGATAGCGATGGCTTTACAACCCCTAGTCATTGCACGTTTCATTTTCTTACTAAATAAGCCCTTATGCTCAGTACAAAGCTGCAATTGATATGGTGTAAATAGAAGTCACAGTCTTTGAAAGTGCAATGGTATCCTGACTTTTTTTTTTATTGATTTGTTAGGTTGGTCTTCTGAATGTTCAGCCTCCTAATTTGCCAATTAAGCAGTCTATAAAAGAGCGCCTAGGACCTGTCCGTTCCAATGATGCCGAACCAGCAGAGGGCCAAAGTGCTAACGTGGAGGCAGTACAGGTATATTATTGTCATTTACAGGGTACTTCTAGATTAATAGCTAAAGGGATGCATTGGGTGGAAAGCACATTACCTGTTAATATTTGTAAGTGTAATAACAGCTTCAAGATATCCTTTCAGGTACTTTAATTAGCATTCATTCAATTTACTTATTAAACAATTGAAGTTTTGTGTCATACTTTGCCGTTTTAGGCATTGAATTGCATTTGGTCTTCCTTCATTGTACTATTTGTGTTTTTTCCTTTTTCAGACTGTAACCAAAGTACCAATAAAGGAGAGGCTGGGTTTTATTGCGAAGCACACTACAACCACTGAAAAGGTCAGTAAATCACCTTTGTATTAGTCCTGTTATGGTTAAATATAGTATATGCTACATTTTTTGAAAATCTACTAGAAATTTTGGCCGCCGAAACATATCGGCTGAAAATGGCACTTTGGGCAAGATGCTGAAAGATTGTACCATCTTTCTGCCGAAATTGCGGTGCATTCCTAGTTTCTCTCCCCCGCGCTGCTCTGTGTCCCCTCTGACAGCGCAGCGCCCAACGGGGAGGAGAGAAACTATCAGGAGACCGAGCAAGGCGTGGTGGAGATCGCTTTGAGCCGTTTATGGATGAACAGGAACACGGAGTATAGAGGCTTCGTGTTCATTTATAACAGGGGCTGCAGGAAAAGAGATTAAGGACAATCTATTTTAAAAGGGAAATATCAGGGGCTGTTTAGAAGTTCCTAGCAATAAAGTTATTTATTGTCTAGAGAGAATGCTGGAGGCATGTTGGTGAGATAGGAAGCTTTAAGCCTTTTTCTGCGGTCTTAACTATTATGGTGTGACAATGCCAGCAGGTAAACAAACTCATGACAGTTATAGCAACCAATAGTTTATTTCTTGTTCTGCTTGCTGCTGCTTGAAGTAATTTTACTCACTTCACAAAATTCCTACCTTCTGCCATGTGCCAGGCCTTACTTGTCCCTTCTGCATGACTGTGATGTCCATGGAGGGTGTCTGTATGCAGCGCAACAGAAGATCAGTGAACTTTTATCCCTCTCTGACCACTCAACACTACATTTGCCCCTCCTGCTCACTACCTTGCAAGCACTACTTCTCCCCACCTGCTCCTGCTACTACCTCCCCTCCCACTCGCATACACACACACACAAGCATGCCACACTGGCACCACCACACCTGCAGGCCAACTGACCCTTACCGCTGCCTCTGCCCCCACCCCTCCCACAACTATGTCTGCAGGTGCCTCTTCCTCCCCTCACTGTTGCCTCCAACATAGCTGAAACTATTCTATTATCCCTTGCCCCAGATCCCACCACCCTTGTGTCTTCTGGCACTGCCACATTTTTGCTGTTCTAATCTAATTTTGTAGACCCAACAGATGGTAGATTACAGCCAGATGGCCCTCACGCTGAATTTCATGAAGTGTTGTACTGCGCAGCAGGTTTTTAAAAGTGCCCTGTTTTGCTTGACCTTTTTGGGCAGTTTATCTCTTCAGAACTATGTTGGATACTCTTACCCACAGATACATTCTTTATGAGTTTGTCCACCTTCCACAGACACAGAAGGGTAAGAAATCCAACACATGAGGCAGCGCCATATTTCTCTTCTCTGAAGTGCTCCTGTGTGTCGGAATAGGAATGTCAAACTCCTCCCACAAATACACCCAATAACAGGGCTGCTTTTGCTTCAGCATTCTGTTAACGATGCAAAGAAATGTATTGCCCTCAACTGTCTGTATCACAGATTAATAGCAGGGGCTACTCATTTTATTTTCCAAAGTTAACAACCCCATTATACTTTGTTTTTTTATACTATTCATTGTAAATGTAATTTTTATTTCCAGGTTTTATCCACCTCTACCGGGCTTACAAAAACGGTTTACAACCCGGACGCTTTAAAAGCTATTCAGAAATCTGTTGCCTATACCGCAGCAGTTGACCGCAATGAAGCACAGAAAAAGAAACGGGTGATTTTGAATTGTGTTCATTACCTGCACACTTAACATTGAAATTAATGTGAAACAGGAATAAATGAATGTGTTCCTATATCTCCATTGATGCTGTTTATGGTCTTCATGCTGGCAGCAGTGCTGAAAATTCTTCTATGATTAGCAGTTGCTTCCCTATTTATGACAATAACAGAGGGAGAGGCTGGCTGCATGTTGCATGAAAGAAGAGGTGCCCTCTGTGTTCCCTTCATGAAAACCCTATTTCCCGGGCTGCCACACTGACCCGTTATGGTTAAGTATTGCCATATGTATTTGTAAGTAATGACCAACATTTTGGCCTGCACACCTCCTCTCTACTATAGAGGAAGCAGCTCTTGCAACCTCTTCTAATTAGAGCAGCCACAGTTGTTGCTTATTATCACTAATCACACAGGGACATCAGTGTAATTTGTGAAATCCCCTGGTGATTCCTTTGTAAAATGATGACCAAATTAAGGGGCATGCGTGTCCTTTTTTTCTTTATTGTCCATTGAGGGACACCGCTCTGAAGAAATCTGATACGTCGGGTTATGCCGCTGTCTCTCGGAGAAATGAACACTAGGCAAATACAGAAAATTAAAAACCTGCCACTTTAAGGACATTACACCTCCCACCTCACAACCCCCAGTTTAGCTTAGTGTCCTCAGAAGAATGGATGTCTCCTTTTTCTTCTGCTTTATTTGTTTACATTAAACAAATAAAGCAGTTGATCCATACCAGATATTATTAAATCCTAGGAGTTTTACAAGACAGCCAACTTGACTTAAAAGATTCATACTGGATATGTAAAATCCTGGAAGTTTCTCTAGTCATTAGACATGCCTTTTCTAGTCTCAGGCCAGTATTGTCAGGGAAATCCAAGGGTGGTGAAGGGAACAGGGCCATTGGAGTTGTAATTCAATATATATATGTGTGTGTGTGTTTGTAAATTGTACTGCAGACGCGGCACACAGATTAGTACTATCTATTTTAAAAAGGTGCTCCTAACGACAACTCGTTATGTACAGTGAGGAAAATAATGATTTGATCCCCTGCAGATTTTGTAACTTTGCACACTTACAAAGAAATGAAAGGTCTATAAGTTTTATCATAGGTGTATTTTAAATGATAGAGACAGAATATCAACCAACAATCCAGAAAAAACACATGATGCAAATATTATACATTGATCTGCAGTTCAGTGAGTAGAAGTATTTGATCCCCAACCAACCAACCAACAATAATTGTGGCTCCCACAGACTGGCTATGTGGTACACAGGTTAGTCCCGTCAATTTAAGAAGGTGCTCCTAACAACTAGTTATGTACATAAAAAACACCTGTCCACAGAATCTTTCTTCCATTCAAACCTCCCCACCATGAGCAAGACCAAAGAGATGTCGAAGCAAATTAGGGACATGTTTGCAGACCTGATTGTAGACTTTGCTGCATTGAGGGACCAATGGATGGGGCCATGTATTGTAAAACCTTGGTTGAGAATCTCCCTTCCCTCAGCCAGAACACTGAAGATGGGTCGTTGATGGGTCTTTTAGCATGACTATGACCCAAAACATACTGCCAAGGCAACAAAGCAGAGGCTCAAGAAGAAGCACATTAAGGTCATGGAGTGGCCTAGCCAGTCTCCAGACCTTAATCCTAGAGGAAATTTATGGAGGGAGCTGAAACTTCGAGTTGCCAAGCGACAGCCAAGAAACCTTAAGGATTTAGAGAAGATCTGTAAAGAGTGGACCAAAATCCCTCCTGAGATGTGTGCAAACCTGGGAACCAATTACATGAAACGTCTTACCTCTGTGCTTGCCAACAAGGGTTTCTACAGCAAGTACTAAGTCATGTTTTGCTTGGGGATCAAATACTTATTTTACTCACTGAACTGCAACTTAGTTTATAACATGTGTATCATGCGTTTTTAATTGTATGTTAGTTGATATTCTGTCTCGATCATTTAAAATACACCTATGATAAAAAATTATAGACCTTTCATTTCTTTCTAAGTGGGCAAACTTACAAAATCTGCAGGGGATCAAATAATTGTTTGCCACACTGTATGCAAGATCTGACAATGTAAAAATGGTACCCAATTAGGGGACCAAATTTTAGTGAAGTCACAGAAGATTTTATTTTGCAGTCTGTTCAAACTCAAAAGCCTGCACCAGACTCAAAAGCCTTTCACCAATAAAAGTCGATTTGTAACCCATACTTGGTAATTTGCCGGGAAATTAAATTGCTGCTAGGGAAGCCACTGAGGTAAGGAACTGTCCTGGTGGTATTACCTCAGTAGAAACCATGAGTCTATCTATGAGTCGGATTAAAGGAAGTGTACAGTATGATGCTGTCACGTTGTTTTTTTTCTTTGTTCTTTCTTTTTCCCTACAGCAGATTGTTTGATTCCTAATTGCGATTTGCAATGTTACATTTACAATTTTTCTGTATTCACAGGAAGCACTAAAACTTCAGCAAGATGTAAGGAAGAAAAAGCAGGAGATTTTGGAAATACACATTGAGACACAGAAGGTAAGTGACTGCTTAGATAGATGTGTAGATATGCATCTTTACAGTAAAGTCCTGGATTCACTGATGACATGCATGTCATGTTTATATTTTATTCAATCTCACTGTAAACTGAAAAATCTCAGATGTCTTACGTTTTTATGATATTTCCATATGTTCTAAATAAGGCAGAACCTTTAACCCCTTCATGTCTGAGGTTATATTGTCAGTAAAGCAATATTTGTCATTTTTCTCTCGCCCCTTGAGCTGCGCTAGAATTCAGGTTCTGTCGGCTTATACTGCTATCTACAGGAAAAATGGAGACCAGCAAACGAAGGATAATCCCTCCTGCTTTACAGCATGCTTTTGCTAGTGTCCTAGGAGGTTGGACACCATACTTTGTTTGCCAATTTTTTTTTCTTGAATTTTTTCTTTGGTTATTGCAATCAAGATTTTTCACAACACCGCTGCTTGAGCTCATCTCCATATCGCAACTATCTGGATCAGCATTTCCTGGATCTAGCTTTGGAGGCCATACATGGACCCTGCTGGAGTGAAAATTGTAGTGCTATCCTGGAAGGAGACCTTTGGTCACTGGGCTCTGCATTGTGGCACTTTCCAGACCTGAGTGTGCTAGGTTTGTTAGCTGCAGAGCGCTTTCCAGGTCCTCAGCTGTGACACAGCCCCAGGTTGTGACCCTGTCTCTGATGACACAATTTTATTAGCCTAGTTTTGAAAGCTTTCTCCAGACCTAGCTGGACAGAATTTGGGGGCCTAGCTTGAAATGTGACCTTCAGGCACTGGCCTCTACATTGTGACACTTTCCAGACCCAAGCGTACTGTGTTAACTGCAGGGCACTTTCTAGGTCCAGAGCCGTGGCACAGACCCAGGTGTGACCCTGTTTGTGAAACTCATTTTGTGAGTAAGGCTGATCAGGCTAAAGCACCAGGATCTACCTCATTATAGAATCGCTGTACGCCTTTAACATTTTCCACCTCTTATAGTTTTAACTCAGGAAAGTTTTTAATGCTGAGAGACTTGGCACATCCACTAGGGGGAGTGTACAATGTGTGAACACCACGTGGATATCTTGCTTGTTCTACTTCCTACCTACAGTAACCTGGTTATTTCTGGCCAGAAGTTACTAGGTCAGCACCAGTTGCTTTGGTATGCATCTCCCAGAAGCCTTGCCTTACTATGGCCTAGATGCATCCTCACTGCGTGCCCACAGCATGTTTGTACATAAACACAGAGGCCACTGTCTTGTTACTATGGGTGACCCCAGCAGATACTTGCACGGTTCCCAGGAGCATCTGTCCTCTCGGAACTGATACCTACAATTTGGATTCCAGTAACCCTATAATTATAGGGTCTACAGCATCTGAGACTTCCTCAGCTGTGTCCAGATAAGGGTCGAATTCCCCTACCCTTGCATCAATGGCCTCTGTCGCAGCCACTGAAGACTTATTTGCCTTATTCTTTTTGCATAATGACCACAGAGGTTCTATGTTTGCACCAGTGCCACCCCCTGCAGAACCTGACTTTCCATAGACCTCTAACCACTTGAAGTCTGGGGTGTTCAACCTCCTTCCGGTCCAGGCCTTTTTTCAATATTCTTAATTTTACTTTGACGAATATTTATTCAGTCATGCAACGCTGTACTGAAATTAATTTTATATTACTTTTTGGGGACAGATGGAGCTTTCTTTTGGTGGTGGTTAAACATCACTGAGGCTTTTATGTTTTACTATATAAAGAAAAACATAACGACAATTTTGAAAAACAAAACCGGTTTCCTTACATTGTTAAACATTTATTATCACCTAATATTTTGGTAAAATATAAGACACGGGGTCACGTCGGGTACATAGACTTAACATCTCGAGCCTTAAAATTGAGTGCGCTCATGAAATCGCAATTAAACGGCCATATACAAAATTAGTGACGCTTTTACCGCTCATTAATTTAATGGGTTATGTAATTGTTGTTTTCGCATGTAGGCGCAGTCGATGCGTATTTATGTTTGTATGTACATGCGGCTGGGGGACTTAAATTATTATTATTTTTTTTGTTAAACTGAAGGCGGAAATTATGTAATACAGTAAAGAGAGCCGCTATGCTGGTCCTGGGCCCGCGAAACCCAGGATAGCCGGTGGTGGTGGGGCCCGCACACTCCTTGGCACCATACAAGCAATCAGACAGTTGTAGAGCCGGTATCGATGAGCAGCAAAGGAAAAAAAACACCGTACATGTACAGCGACCTGCAGAAAGGCGCTTGCCGTCCATCTGTTTATTTACAATGGGCAGAGGACAAGTAGCTCAGATCATCTCTGACCCGGATTCAGAGTCCTAACAGTCTATCTCTGAAGAGACTGTTTTTGAGGCACAGTGTTATAACGGAATCTTGGACTTTGTTAGCTATCTGGACCGCATCCACACAAGTGCAGAAGAGGTGCTCGGGTCCAGAAATTTCACAGGCTATTTGCCTGCATTGCACATGTGCAGGGAAGCGGCTCCAGAAAAGTTACAGGCATGGCGCCTGCATTTTATTGCTATTTTTATTATGTGATTTGGTTGCAGGTGCCATGCCTGTGAATTGTATAAAGGCATTAGCTTCCCCGCACAGGCGCTCGTGTGTTACTTTTTGCATCAGCTATGAATTTCATGGACCGGTTCCTGCACATTTGCAATTGTGAGTGAAATTTCGGGACTTGGTCAGCGGGTCTGAGTTTGCACATTCAGCTCAGGTTTGGAGAAAGAGGTACGGCTCCTAATATCTTCTCTTGTTTGTCCTGATTACAGGGCCAAAAACATGTTTGCATTCACTTTTCTTTTTTTTCTAACCTTAAACTTAGCTTTGCCAATGTATAATAACAATAGATAAAACACAGTGTTCTACACCCTGTGAAACAATACATTGTTTGTAAGCTTTTGTCAGAGAAAGCAGAGGGAGGCAGCCATTGGAACAAATCACTATACTTAAAACTCTGCTTTGTCACATGATCTCTCTGAACTATTGGAGAGACCTGTCACTGGGTATCCCCTCTGGGTGCATCTCAGGGACTGTGTCTGTTAATAACATCCCAGTCTCCCAGCTCTGGAAACAGCCTTCATGTTTGGATCTTGGCAGGAAGACATAAGACCTTTGTTGCAATGCTCTGCAGATTAGGCCTCTGCAGATCTATTGTATTGATGGTTAAATGATTATTTATCTAGTAAGATCGGTGATCAAGCTTGGACCCATCAATCAGTGCCAGAATCATATATAATTATTCATATGCTTAATAAAAGGCTCATGTCAGGAGAAAAATATGTGAACAGGTTTTGTCTTTGAAACTGCTGGCTCCGGGGCTATCCTCTTTACTTTGGTTTACTAGCTGGTAATTTGCTACCTTTTGAACAAGCATGTTTTTTAAAGCAATTCATGAAAAAAAGGATTAAGAAGACAACCATGGCGCATGCACCTTTCCAAGCCGAGTCCACAATAGCAGCTTCTTATATTTCTATCAAGACCAGTTCTATTTAACTATCTCTTTGTTTAATGTTTGATTTGCTCCTGGAAGTAAATCATGTTGTTTAGATCTTAATGTGGTTAACATTTGTCTAATTTGCAGATGCTTATCTCAAGACTTGAGAAAAATAAAACCATTAAGGCAGAGGACAAAGCAGAAATCTTGAAAACTCTGGAAACATTGTCCAATAGCATTACAAAATTAAGAGATGAACTAAAGGCTGTGTCATCTACAGGAACTGCTCTCAAGAATAGAAGTAAAACACAGGTAATTTTCCTTTTTTTTTTTTTTTCTTTTTCCACAGCTTCAGTTTTGCTTGTTTACTTGTGTGAATGCTTTACTGGTGTATATGCTAGGGTTTCAAACTGCAATCCTAATAGAAAACACGCTATCATTTTGGGTCCAGATCAAGAGTTATCAGTGTCTGTGACAGCTGTCAGGCTACAGTTTATCAGGTATCAGCATGTTACTACTTTTGAGATCCTAGACATTCCAAACGGAAGAAGTTGACAGCGGGAATGCAATTACTGCTAGCAACCTGTAATGGGATCATTGCCAGTTAGCTGAATCTGTGTACAGTGCATCTGCTTTGCAAGATATTAATGGGCAGCGAACACTTTGTACTGCTGATGAACTTGTGATTCGAGAGGTGGCAAATGTGACCAAAATAAAAATCATGAGAAATCCCTTTCCCGGGGGAGGGTGAAGAAGACAAAACCATTCAAGACTGTGAAGCCTCATATTAACCCTTCCTGAATTAAAAGCAAATTACCTTGTTTTCTGATCCAAAAGATAAGATTAAACGTGGGGGGAAAAAAAAGCTGCATGGAAATTAGTGGACATTGATATTGATAGGGGGGTTTGGGTCACTGTTTGATTTTCTTCTAGCAAGTGTCCCCAGGGCGACAGGCTGGATGACTGTAGATCCTTGTAGTCTCCCCTGGGTGACCGACGAGCGCATGCAGACTCTGCTACGGTGGGTCGGCTGCGAGGGGTGGTCCTCCCCGACGCCTCATGGGATTCGTCCCAGGAGAGGGACCTTTGACCGGGGGCTCCGGCCCACCTTGTCGCGGCTCTCTCCGCAGGCTGGCGACGCCGCGGCTTCGGCCGGGGGCTCGTCTGTTTGGTTCCACCTTGGATGAGATCATTAAGGATCTGACGGGGGGTAAGAGTACCTTCCTTCCCCAGGCGCGCAAGATGGGACAGCGCCGGGAGCCTGGGTCTACCTTCTCCGCTCACAAGCGGCTTTTTCGGCCCCCGCCCTCCGAGGGCCGCCTTCGGCTCTTTGCGGATTCTGGCTGGCCCACGTCTCCGACTCTTGGGTCCGGCAGCTGGTTTCTTCGGGCTACGAGCTTGAGTTTTTTTCCCGTCAGGGCAACCGTTTCTTCCCGTCCAACACGCGGCTGTCCCCATCGCGGTTGGCGGATCTCCGTTGCGCGGTGGTGGACCTTTTGGTCCCAGGGGGTGATTGTTCCTGTTCCCTCCGCGGAAAGATTCTCAGGGTTTTATTCAAACCTGTTTGTCCTGTGTCCTTCAATGAACGGAGAGAAAAGGATTTTACGGTGAGTACAAAAATCCTATTTTTTCCCCCACTGCAGCCCAAATGCGAAATAAGGAAATAACCATTCACACTACTGCGTTCCTGTGGTGTGCACTAACGATTTTTTGCTTCATAATTAGGACCCTAACGAGCAGAGATCTATTGCTTTAATGTAAAACTCCCATCTACATGTTATTGCATTTCTCCCCCTCTTTGTTTATCTTCTGTGTATTTGTGTCCATATATTATTCCAGTCAGTACTCTGTACTTTTTAATATAGCTTTATATAATTGTATGCTCAAATGTTTTTCAGATGCAGAAAGAGCTCCTTGACACTGAACTCGACTTGTACAAGAAAATTCAGGCAGGTGAAGATGTTGCTGAGTTGAGGAGAAGATACACAGAGTTACAACTTGAGGTAGGTCTGTTGTTTATTGTTACAGTGGTGGGGGCGACATCAGTGTACTACATGTGTTGTACTGTGTTTGGGAAGGATGTAGTTATGCCCTAAACCGCGGCTGGACAAATTTCAAGAGCCAGGTAGCCAGTGCTCCTTAAAATTATAGTTGGCTCCTAATTTTTAAGGTGTTCTCTATCAATGGAGCTGGCTCCTGAACTATTTAATACTTATTTGTCCACCCATGCCCTAAACACTAAAATAGTGTTGCTAAAAACAAAGTGAAATGCATTATACACTTTGGCCAGTGGGTGGCACTACAGCAGTGCAGATTGTTTCTAGCCTTCATTCTTTTGTTTTCTTGCTTCAATTCTGAACTCTTCTAAAACCCTATAAACCTCTATTGTTTACATATTGGATATCGATTGATTTGAACAAACAGATATTTTTAATAAGTTAGCTTAAATTGTTAGTGCACACAACCACAACTTAGGGCTCATTCACACAGCCTTTCATGGCAGCCTTTACACAAACCATGTTATTAGCATTACACAGGATTTATATAGTGCCAACAGTTTGCACACTGGTTTACAATTGTTAGATATTTTTTGGACACTTATATTGTTTTAAGCATCTTATGGTGATTCTGTAAAAATTCAGAAGTGTGTCCTCAAATAAAGTGTGGCTTTATTTGAGAGCATAAAGACAGCAGTCATACTTGAAAGATACAAAACATCTACAAAAATATACGAAAAAAGTAGGTACAGATAACATAAAATAGTGTACGTCTTCGAAGCGTCAGTCTACAAGTCTTACAAGCTTATTCTTTAAAATACTCCTGACAGTTGTGTAAATAAATTGCATGTCTGTGTGAAGGTAAGTCCCGTGACATGTGAGTGTTGTGTGATTGGATGTTCCACAAAAAGGACCGTCCCTGTCCTTATATCCATGTTCCTTAATTCCTTAAAATAACATGGTATTTGAGGTAGAATAAAGACACAGGTCCATAAAGTTCAACGTGTACGTGTGTACACGAGTCTCTGTGTGATAACCCTAGATGTAAAGCTAAACAGACCTTTTAAAGTCATACATATTCGCATAATGAGGTTCCATTCTCATTACTTATTAGTTTTACAATAATTCATAGCTAGTACATTCCAACAGCTATACCTTACATTCTTCAATCTATATTAAAGGTACCAGTCTACTCTTCGTACGTTCCTGACAGTTGTTCACACTAAGCTCTGCTCTGTCAGGCTTAGTTATTGAATACCATTTGTAACGCAAACGTATAGTACTGCAGTTTGAAGTAAGCAAAATCATAGACTTGTTTACCTGCTTGTATATATTCCCAAACTTGAAAAAAAAAATATATAGAAAATCAATCATTTAGGTATTTCACATTCATACATAATCCCTATAGGAATAATACCCTATAAACGTTTTTATGGCTTTAACAACAATATAATGAAGACAATACAGTTACAATAGAGATAAAGACAGGCTGATAAGGAGGGTCCTGCCTGTGGGAGCTTACAATTTAAAATCAATGGGGGGAATTTATCAAAACTGGAGCAGACAGAATCTGGAGCAGTTGCCCATGGCAAGCAGTCAGCATCTCTCTTCAGTTTGCTCAGGTAAGATTTTAAAATGAGACGGAGAAGCTGATTGGTTGCAGTTCAAATCTGTTCCAGATTTTGTCTGCTCCAGTTTTGATAAATTCCCCCCAATGTATTACTGTGGCAGGTATGGCCAGGTGTTCTCAATTACAAAAGCCAGTACAAATTAATGGCAGCCTGTCACTGATTTGTGCAGACTGAGGGATTGCAGCTAATTGGAACTACCTGGACATACCCACCTCAGAAATGCACTGATCTGGGCAGTGTACAGCCATGAACACAGCCTGCAACATTTATAACCTCTTTTAATTTTGTGTTATGTGTGAGAAAACATGTGGTTTAAGGGGATTTTTTGCACACTGTAATGTGTGTGAAATATATCAAGAACTCACCCAGTCTTCTGGTGTTTGATATACTCCTGAGGAGGATAGAAAGGTCATTATTGTTGTCCATGTCTCCATTTGAGAAACTCAACCTTTCTGTTTGTCCAGTTGACCATTTGCGTCTCTCGCTGGAACTACCGTAGGTGGGGACGCCTGATCTGGTGACAGTCTGAGGAAATGTTTGGTTGTTTTTGTTTTTTATTTGTCGAGCCTCTCACTCCCTGTTATCTTTGTCATAGTAATGAAGAGATATCTATTGTAATGAGACACAGACAACAATAAAGAAACTGCAAGGGCTTCCTATGCTTTCTCCACTATCCAAACCTGAATAAAAAAAAAGAGTTTTGGCTATATATGCTCTAAAGTAGTTAAGAGGGGGTTTCCGTTTTTGTTTTTTTTGTTTTCAAAAGAAACTTCTAGTTTATGCCCTCAGCGCTGAACACTGAAAAATGGCCTGGCCAGGAAGGGGGTCTAACACCTGGTCTTGAAGTGGTTAAGAATGTCTGTCTTTTATTTTTATTTCTATACTTAAAATACCGGCATTTGCTAATGACATGGACAGTGCAATCGTGTATCCTTACACCTGAAGTTTTCTAATGACTATATTCTTTTCTTCATTATAGGCTGCAAAACGGGGCATCTTGTCTTCTGGGCGTGGAAGAGGGGGGCACATGAGGGGAAGGGGAATGGCACGTGGAAGAGGAAGAGGGAGAGGGCGAGGGAGAGGAATCCCAGTTCATTCCATGTTAGATCATCGGCCAAGAGCTCTGGAGATATTTGGGTTCAGTGAAGGTGACAGGGAAGATCTTCTTCCTCACTTTGCAGTAAGTTAAATTGAGTTCTTTTGAAATATTTTATATTTGTCATAATGACCATATTTCTTATTTATATCACTGACACCAAATTGAAACCATTCTACACTTGGCTCAAGGTATTCCACTAAAGTTCAGTTAAAATATTTAAAGTGTAGTTCCACTTTTGCAGTCAAATTTTAGAAAAACCCACTATGTTTGTGTCCTTATTCACACAACATGTCTATAAAAAAATGTTTTAACCCCTGCATGACTGAGCTAGTTTTCAGTTTCTGTTCATAAATGACTGACACATTTTTTACATTTTTGCTGTGTGATTCTTCCACAGCAGTAATAAACTTTCTTACTAAATGTACCCACACATATTATATATAGTTTTTTTAGAGGACAGATAGGGCTATATAATTATATCACATATGTGTACCTAACCCCTCACTTTGTTTGAATAAAATAAAAAAATGAGGAAAAAACTAGAAGAAAACATATTTTTTTTAGAATTTTTTATATTAATTATAGTATAAAAAATATATTTATATATAATTCATATTTTCCTAATTTTGTTTTACACTTTATTTTTATTTTTTTACACTTTGTAAAAAAATTTTTTTTTTAAAAAAAACAACTTTTTTTTTCTTGTCAGTTTATATCAAGCAATCACTATGACAGCTTGATAAATTAACTTTTTTATTTTATTTTTGGCTATTAGGCTGATCCAAACTTAGGAACAGCTAATAATAACCTTAGAGACTGATCCTGACTTTAGTCAGATTCAGATCTCACTAAAAGCTCTTTGATCGGGCCTAGACGATCAGAAATGATACATTTCACTAAAAAAGATACATTGTATCCTTTCAGTGAAATGTATCTAAACATCGGGCTCTCGAGCTGTCAAAACAAATAGCAGAGAGGTGAGTTGAGTCACTGCTGCCTCTCTGCTATTTTGAGCTGTCAAATACGGGATCGCAAATTGCGGTCCTCTATTTGCATGTAACGGCTTCATTCTTTCATTAATGAAAGGAAGAAGCTTTTACAAAAAGCTTAATTATTTCATTAATTAATGCCTCAATACTGAGACATTAATGAATGACTGTTAAATGCTGAGAATCAGCAAATACCGGCATTACAAAGCCTGATATAACTCGTCACGTACAGTGTACGTGGCCAGTCATATAGGCACAAAGTGACAGGACGTACACTGTACGTCTCCCGTCACGAAGGGGTTAAATATATTTCTGGTCATTTAGCAGTTTTTGTGAAAGCCTCTGGGCAGGTTCCAAGCCGCTCTGAGCAGTTTGAAAGCTGAAGTAGAGGGACAGACTGAGCTTCCTTTCTTAACAACTGATAATGAAACCTGCCAGGCAAGTACAGACAAGGTTAGAGTAAACCTAGCTTCCTCTATCCCCTTCTTTAAAAGGGCGGAATCTAGGTAGGAATTTTAAGCAAGTAAAAAGCACTTAAAATGAAAGTAATTGTTAAAGGAGAACTATGGGGTTAGGGCTTTTCATCATAGTTCTCCTAAGGGTAACGAGAGGACACAAACTAGTGTCCTCCTGTCACCCAAAGCTCAGTATACCACAAGCTACTGCTCGCGGTATACTGAGACGCCGCAGCTGAAGCCGATCCCGACAATTATGTCTGGATCCGCCCAGGTGCGTGAGTGACAGCTGGCTCCTGCCTATCTAGAGGCAGGGCCAGCTGTACCCTCCCCCGTCCGTTCCGCCAGTCAGCGCTTGGGGATCGGGGAGGGGGGAATCCAGTCCCGCCCCTGTCACGGCTCTGCCGGCACAGGGTCGACAAGTGAGCGAGCGCCGGTATGTGTTCGCTCACTTCCCGATTTACTGAGCCTACCTGTGACAGTCTCATTGTCACAGGTCGGCTCAGATTATGAGGCTGAGTGAAAATCACTCGCCTCATAATTCTCCTTTTAAATATTTTTTTAGGTTGTCTAATGCGAATGGGAACATGTAACAGATATACAGTGGTTCTTACTCCAACTTGCCTGCTGAAGTGGAACTACACTTAAAAGATTAGGCTGTAGCCACCAGCTCAAAACATATTCCATAATTCTGCATCATCCTCTTATAGGAGAGAGTATCAACATACGCTATGAAAATGCTGCAGACGACATATGTATAAGGGACTTTATTAATACTTAAACAACTGAAATCAAACTTGGCCTGCTTAGTATCGTAAAAAATGGCTTTATTCTCATTGTGTCAAGACACGTGCATTGCAACATGTGGCAACCTGCTATTTCCATGTCCATTGACATTGCTTCAGGGGTCACTTGGGGCATTCTAAATGGACAGGGAGATGGCAGTTGGCAAGCTTAGCCCAGAAATCAGGGAAGTTGGACCCCAGTAATACGTTGAGACTCAGAGAGCATTCAGAGGTGGGGGTTCTGGCTTAAGGTGCTGGCAGGCATTTTTTGGTAGCTATTTACTTTTAAATTGTGACATGAGTAATAGGTTAATTTTAAGATGCCTTTATATTGGCCAATCCGCAGTTGGAATGCTGCTTGACAGCCCTTTAAAAAATTGGTGATGTGCACAATGGGCTTAAATGGAAGACATTGTCGCATGATCAGGGAGTTATTTATATTTATCAACATCCATTTACTAACAAACGCAATCATTTTCCAGTCCCTTTGCCCATTTGATTCTATACACGCTTAAAATTTGACTAGTCTGGCAGTACATTGATGCATCTAATAAACAGGTAACAATATATTGCTTGATGGATAGTGGGACGTGTACAGTACATGCAAAGGAAAGACATTTAGTCCTGACCAACACAAGTAATATAGGTCATACATGCCAAGTTCCAATGATAAGAAAATATTGAGATTCTCGCTAAAAATGTCGCTGACTGATTTTTCGTTATCACAGTTCAGTAGGTTAAGAAAAAAAGACAGGTGTTTGAGTTCAGCCTCTCGAGAAACTACAACAGATTTGGTACAGAAGGCAAAAGTAGCCTTTTGTGGCCCTCATGTGATTTTTGTTTCTATATGTAGATCTATATGACATTTTATTTGGCTTTTGCACCTTCTGTTTGACATTGAATGCTGCTATATTCCATCAATCAGTAGTTCGTCTCCAGCTCTGTTTTCCCAAGTATATTTTGCTGTGTAGTGAGCAGTGCTGTTGTTCTGACATTTATCAACTTAGAATTACATTGTATTCATGTTTTGTGACAGCAATATGGAGAAATTGAAGACTGTAAAATAGATGACTCCTCTCGTCATGCAATAATTACCTTCAAAACCAGAGCAGAAGCAGAGGCAGTAAGTTGAAATGCTGTGTTTACATGTTTGTGATGGTCGTATGTGTTTTCCTGCGTACAGTAACATTACTTATTCTTTTTTTGAACCCTTTAATAGTGGTGTGTGTCCTGTACTGTAGAATACAAAACATTTCCATAGCTTAAAAGTGAACCTACACTCAAATGGTAATATAAGGCTGTTAACAGTCTTGCCGAGATGACGAAAAAAGTGAAGAAAAGTTTGAAATACAATGATAAGAGTATAGGCAGGTTGTCGTCATCTGACTAACATTGTTGTCTATCTAATAAAAAACAAGGCTATGTACTTAATATGACTGTGTAGTAAGCATGTTAGCAGCTTGGCAAATGTTTAGTGCACTGGTTTGCATGTGATGACGGAGCAGCATCTCAATTTGGGCAGCCATTGAACTGCTGCTTGCAGCATTCCCTTGTCATCAGTTGTTCATAACCACTTGCTTACTTTGACCACTATCCTTCAAAATAATGGGAGTGGTGAGCTATTAGGAAGTTTCCAAACTTTAAGAAAGTAATTGACTATTTATTGTTGTTTTTGAGCATTTTGCGATCTTTTCGGATGCTTTCTTAACGTTTGCTAAAAGCTGGATTAATGCCAGGTTTTATGTGATCAGTAAGCAATCAACAAACCAGCCTTAGTTTTGTAATCTATTTTTGTGGGATTGGTCTATATATTGCCCACAAATGACTGTTCTTTAAAGAGTATTTCCACTTTCCCTGGCAAATTTATTGAGATGGAATTATTCCTACCAAGCTGCCCCCTCTTCGACCTGCTTCTTGCTAAAGGTGGCCACACAACTATCGGACGACATTTTTCGTCCGATGATCGAACCGTCGTACGGTGGCCCCATAATGCCGCGATTATCGCAAGGTTCAATTAGCCGTAATTAAAGAAAAGCACCTGGACGAATTGCGGTTATCAACCACACGTATTTTCGTTTGAGCATGAACAGCGTAGATCGTACGGAGACGCCGCTAACCTTGCAATAATCGTACGATCGGCCAAAGTTTGCGAACATGCTTGAAAGTCAAGTCGTATGATTGTACAGTATTTGCGGTTGCACACTGCCCACACACCTTGTGATTATCGGACAAAAAGTCGATCGCGTACGATAATCGTAAAGTGTGTGGCCACCTTAAGAAGCACTTCTCATTGGTCAGGGGGACCACAGGTGCTGGCTGGGGTGGGGGGATAATTCCAATTATCCCCACCAAGCTGCCCCCTCTTCGACCTGCTTCTTGTCAAATTCAGCAGGAAAAAAGGAAATATCCTTTTAAAATTCTAATATTTTCCATATGGTTAACCTGTGTATGATTAAGTATGTCTGCATTTTTCCACCAGTGTGCCGTGCCTCCCAGGGGTGCCTTCTGTTGCCTTGAAATTTTCACACAGCATGATGCCGTTTTCATGGCGCAGACAGGCCAGCTGTCAGCACCATGAAAATAGATGTCCTTAATCCAGGGAGGGTGGTACCCATTCAGAAAAGGACAGATGTTCACCTCCATCCAGGCCTGCTGTCCTTAACTCTCTGCCGCAACTGCTACTCCTGGTGCGATGGGGAGATTGAGGACTCTGATCTGATTCCCTTGTAGAGTGGGTTCTAATGTAAATGGGGAACTTTGATGTGAAAGGAGGCCGTACCTACTAGTGATGTGCTCGGGCGTGTTCGCAGCTCCACGTGCCGAGCCCGCCAGGAAGCTGGCAGCGCCAATCACAGGCACTGAGACATTTCCCGATCTCTGCGGACCGGTAACATGTCTCAGTACCTGTGATTGGCGCTGTCAGTTTCCTGGCGGGCTCGGCGCGGGGGGCCGGGGAAACGCCCCGCGCCCAC